GCCATTGTCTTTGATGTTGTTGTTTTTGATAAAAATGTGTGCTCACTCTGTATCTGACACCATCATAGGAAAAGTTTGTTTTAGGCGTGCTCGTAGGAACAATCAGAAAATACGTGCTCTGTTCCAACAAGAGATTACCTCTGTGCCCTCTGCCAGATTTTACTGGAGAAATTTTGTCCCTGACTCTATATGGAAGAAAGGATGGACTGTTAATCAAAAATGTATGATAAATAATAAGATGAGGGATGTCTCCTTTAAACTTATGCACAAAATTTACCCTACTAACCAATTTATGCTAAAATATATTAAAACAATTAATCCTAACTGCACATTTTGTAAAGAATATCCCGAAACAATCAGTCATCTTTTTTGGAAATGCACTATTACTAAAACATTTTGGAAAGACTGCTTAAAATTTATTAAAGATCATATAGACCCTAATTTTTCATTAAAATTTGAACATATTATTTTTGGTGTACATGAAAAGAATTTAGACTCAAATAAAAGAATGGTAAGTAATTTAATTGTTATATTTGGCAAATTTTATATTCACAAATGTAAATTCTCACACAGTTCTTTATTTTTTCCTGTTTTAATTAAGCAATTAGAATTATACTTATCTTCTGTCTCTAAAAGTGTAAACAAAAAAGCTGTATTGATTTATGAGAGTTGTATGTCTATGAATTTTTTTTTTTACAATGTAACAGTGGCGATTAAGGTTTTCTTACATGTATGCCTCCCCCTGGCATTCTATTTGTTATCATATGTGTATATTGTTATGTTATTTTCTGTATTGCGATTTGTCATTTAATAAATACATTTTTGAGAAAAAAAGAAAAAAAAAGCGTGCTCTGTGTTTACGGAAGTTGTCCAAATATGGTCGCGAGCATTGAGCACCTGGCGATTTTACAGTTCCGGTTTCCGCCTGCTTCAGTCGTTCGTTGGCCGTTCAGACTGAAGTCGCATGTCAAAAGATCGGATATGCATCGGATTCAGGACCACATATCCAAGTGGCCTGGGTCGCATTTGGAAAATTCGGATCTGTGCCGTTCAGACTGTCACTAAAAGATCAGATACAGGTCACATAGAAGCCAAAAAATTGGATTTGGGTCACTTCAGGCTGCAGTCTGAACGCAGCCTATGTCTATCCACCTTTGCCCGCTCGTTTCTGGGTGTGCTAATATGGACTGGTGTAACTTTCAGATTTAAGTAGCAAGTGGGATTAAGTTTTAGTTTTACAACCGCTCGTGCATTCGGCTCCCGGACCTCGCGTCACGGACCTGACTGGACCGGGATTTGGACCAGTTTCATCTCTTCATATTGGACAATAGACTTTTGGAGACAGAACCAATAGGACAGTGGATCGAGGAAACACTCTGCTTCAGTCTCTGGAGAAGGTAAGAGGCTTGTTTTCATTAGTTTGGGGCAAATCTGAAGATGGAGCGTCACAGATAAATAGTGTTAATAGTTTAATAGTGCGTAAATGAGCTGGTGGGTGCGGTGAAGCTGCTCCGGTTGTTCTGTCGTGTGCTGTAGGAGCGGCGCTGATGCTGTGTGTTCATGTTGTGACCAGAGCCTCTTATTTTGTTGTAGTTTTATTGACGTTGTTGGGTCTAGGTGTGAGCAGCGTGTTACGTTGTGTTGTTGCGAAGGTTTCGCGTGGCTGTTCATTGTGCTCTTATATAGTTCAGCCACTAGTAACCAAACTATTCATAATTTATATTTATCATTTTGGCTTTGGTGCCCCTCCCAAAAATTATACCACCATTTTTTATTATTATTATTTTTTTAAATATCTCATATCAGGAGAAGTGTGTAGACGGCGTGCCCTCGCATACCACGCTCACTACAGACCTGGTTCTTCTTCTTCTTCTAATAGTTTCCGGCAGGCTACACGCTACAGTGCGCAATGCTGCCCTCCACCGTCGTTAAAAGATATTAGATTGTCAGATAAAGGCCGGAGCGGCGAAGAAAGTTTAACAGAGCTAAATCTACTAAACTGTTTTCCGAAGAAAGAATAGCTTTGAGCGAAAAGGTTACAAGTCCCAGGTCCGCTAGCTCCTTGTAGAGCTGCCTCCTCTCACTGCTGTAGGTGCTGCATGACAACAATGTGTGTCTAACGGTTTCTGGGCTGTCACAGTTGGCCCTGGTGTTGTCCGACGTGTGGCTCTTTCTTGCCCGATTGCTTCTTTCAGTGATGTTGTTCAGGGGTGTTTTTGACGAGAGGCTGTTGTTTAATGTTTACAACCAGTGGCAGGCCTTATTGTTTTTTTTTTGGTTTTTTTTGGAAATAAATTTCAACCTTTCATTATTGTCTTGTGTGCGTATCGTCTACCACACAGCCTCAACAACTATTGCAGCTAATAGTAATAATAATAACAACAACACATAATTAGCCAGTGTTGTGGAGTAACAGATTACATGTACTGGAGTTACGTAGTCAGAGTACAAATGATGAGTAACTGTATTCAGTTACAGTTACTGTTTCAATGAGTGGTAATTGGATTACAGTTACTTTGTTGAAATAAATGGATTACACAGTGGTATTTTCCTGTTTCACATTTTGGGCTAAACCAGGACTAAAACAGGACTAAAACAGGTCTGGTCCTAGCCTCAGTCCCCATCTCAGTCCTGGTCCTGTTCCCGGTCTCAGTCCCGGTCTCAGTCCTGGTCTGGTCCCTGTCTGCTCCCAGTCTCAGTCCCGGTCTCAATCATGGTCTGGTCCCGGCCTCAGTCCAGGCCTCAGTCTCGGCCTCAGTCCCGGCCTCAGTCCCAGTCTCAGTCCTGGTCCTGTTCCCATTCTCAGTCACGTTCTGGTCTGGTCTCGGACCTGGTTCAGTCCTGACAAATCAACAAACAAAAAACAAATCAATATCTATTTTTTAATTTTGGTTTTAGAGGCAAACAGTTGTTTTTTCATTTTCTTATTTTAGGTTTTATTTTGAAAAACGAATGAATGAATGAATGATACTCTGATTGTGACTACATGGACACATGTTTGTCATAAATGGGCTGAGTGCAGAACAATTTTCGATTCACAGTTTTATTGTTGTCCGAGTTTTTATTTTGAAAATCTGGTCACCCTACTTTTGGTCAAACTGATGTCATTTAAAACCATGATCTTACACACAGTCCCTTCAAACAAAATCCTGTGATAGGAAGTGGAGCCAGTGAGGTTATGGAAGCCAATTTATTGACAGCCTTATACATGTAGTACACATGGAAGTATTGTTTGTGCTTCAACACTCGCAAACATACAACCCCAACAGAGCTGAGCGTTCCCTCTCGTCAGTGTGTGGAGTCAGCCCTATGCGACACACAGCGAACCCCGAAAACAACCCAAAAGATCAACGCAATCCAAGCGTCCAGCACAGAAAACAAACGCGGATAGTGCAAAAGTACAACTCGTTTGGCCAGGGGAAAGTAAAAGGTCAATTTTCGCAAAGCCATTCACCGTTGTGGGGTCTACATTGCACCAGAGGTAAAGAATAAGTTATTGGCCTATTTATTGATATTTTTTTTATTCCCAAACTAAGCTACGGCTACATCACAACATATTAGCTAGCTTCACATGAGCGCTTTTGAAAGTAAAACATCACTACTTCACAGTCCGAAAAAATCACCAGTCAACATTGAGACGCTAAAACGGCAACGAAGGGTATACACACGACACTAGAGTGCATGGTCCGGTCAAACAAAGTCCCAAATATGGCGGCCCTAACGATTAGCAAGCACGGGCCCGTATACATTTACGTTTGAAGATTTTTTTGAAATGAAAAATAGGGAGACAATACTATACAGTCTTGACTTTACAGAGCGTGGTTGGCTGCTGATTAGACAAGCGTTTCATAAAAGAATCCCGCTGAAAGTTGAGGTTTCCGAAGTGTTGAACGGACACGGTTAGCCCCATATACGGTCTATGTATGCGCTGCAAAAAAGAATGGCTAGTTTAAAAAAATAAAATAAAATCTAATTATTTATACTGTTTTGAGTAATTAGAAAAATGTGTATATTTTTTTAATACACCTAGGATTTTTTTGGAAAATATCCTCATGTTGTTGTTTTTTTTTTCCAGCAAGTTTTTCAAGTTGATTTTTAAAGAGACATTTTCTAATTCCACTGCTAGATAATTTTGGAATAAATAAGGAATAAATATGTGCTAAAAGTTAAACCAGTCATACTATTTTATAATCATTTAAAAATGTAAAATATTCTCGATCAAATTAATTAAATAATCTAGTTCAAACTACTCAAAATTTCCAGTTAAGTCATTTCAACTCGCTATTCTTTTTTGCAGTGCAGCGTCGTCTAAACTAGAGCTAAAACTTAAAAATGTACGATAAATTTCCTCTATTCCTGAATTTTTTGGGACCTTTTTGGACAACGTTCCATCATCCAAATCTAAAATTGCATATAGGAAATCCAACACTCGGAACGTCAATTTTCGGCGGGAATTTTCAACACAACAAATTTTTCAACTTTTGCATTTCCCAGGACACCCGGATACGAACACGGCAACAGTCCAAACGATTCCAAGCATGCTACTGGATAGAACACCTCGACAAAGGGGGGAAGGGGGCGGAACTCTCGGATGAAATATAGATTTATATATTGCATGTTTTCATCGATATGATATATTTTACAACATCGAACTCTCGGAACGTCTCTCCTCCAAGTCTCTGCGAAAAAGTTCACGCCAAAAAGTTAAACCGAGAAAAAATAAATAAGTCTTACAATTTGGTACGATAGTTTTCAATGGCCTCAGGTTGTGATCATTGTTGCATCCATTTAACTTGCAATTCTCTGACACGTTTTTATATCAGTATATATTTTTTTATCTTTTACAGTTATGACGACGTTTTTTTCTTCTCAAGCAAGATGCATACACGAATAACGAGGGGCCTTTTAGGGGTAGGGGCGTGGGGGGGCGGGGTTTATTGGTGAGGGTGGGTGGGGTTAAGCCAAGGAGGAGAGCAGTGATTGGAGGGTTTTTAGCTGGCCACTTCCTCGTCTGGTTTGTTCATGGCCTTGAGCTGCTCCAGGAGGCTGGTGGGGGTGAAGATGTGGGTGGATCCTGGGCACAGAGAGAGAAGAGCGTTAGCGGCGGTCGTGAATGGCGAAACAGATACACAGGAAGTGGATGTCTTAAATGTGTTTTCAGCTGGGATGGAGGCGAGAGAGCAGGGTGGGCGTGGCTTCTGGGATGGCGAGCGCGTAAGTGGGCTCTACGGGGGCACATGGTGTGGGTGGTGGAGTCCGGTCCAGTCAGGATAATCTAATCTCTAATGTATATGTGAAGTGTATGTGAATTGTTAAAGCCATACTGTGGAAAATTTCAGGTTATGTGTTTCTAGTGCTTCACAAGACATCAGTGAAGCAGTGGTCGCCGATCAGGAAGGTCGGAAGGTCAATTCCCGCTAGGGTCAAGTCACTGTGTCATTAGGCAAGAAATTTAAACCATCATTTAACCATTTAAACGAAATTTTACTTTTGGGCGTTGTCATTTCTGTTGTCCAGGATACACTGTAAGAAGTGTTAAAAGCCCCACTATTGTTCGTCTAATCCTTTTTCTCACACTAGGGTTCACTTGCATTCAGCTCGTTTTCTTTACTCAAAGCTACGAATTTGTGGATCTTAATGACTGTGATAAAGTAACAGTTACTTGCAGGGATAGAAAAGCACATGACTTGTCAATTAGACTAAGGTTAACTTGAATGAGACGAGGAACTTCAACAGTGACGTATTATTGCACAACGGCCGGAAGTGCCCCGCTATACGTTTGTGGAACTTTCAGTTAATGGTTTTCTGTGGCAAAATATGTGTGTAAATGTGTGGTGTATTCTCCAGCAGCTTCATAAATCTGCCCCATCACCAAATCTTCAACCAACAAGCTCCACAAAGGATAAACATTCTTCTTCAAGGTAAGAAAGACGAAAGTTTAAAGGAGAACAACAACGGCGCATTAGTGAACTACTGAACAAAATTAACATTATGGTCTTGAATAAAACAGAACTAACTTGTTCACTCAGACTGATTCTACAATTCAAATTAAAATTGATTTCATGATGTCAATATTAGTACAGACAAATGTGTGCAGTTCGAATGTGAGACATCTCTAGCATAGCCTGATTCTTCAGCTGGTTTCACTTTGCGGAAACCGTCTGACCTCGCAGCATTAGGATTTGTTCGCTCAATAGTAGGTGGGTACTTTTATTATTTAACTAATTGCTGCTATTTGGTCGTGACGTATGTAATGCTGCAAATCTCGTAGGAAGAAGGACGATAACGTCTTTTCTCTTGATAAAATTCACCAAACATTCTCTTTGTTCCGGCTTTAAATCCTCGATCTCGGGAATTGTTGTCAACACAGAATGTCTGTCTTCGTCTACATCCATCTCGACGCTTTGTTTACTGTTGCGCTGTTCCACAGAAGGGACCCAGACAGACGCGACGAGTTTAACGTCATGGTTTCACAGCTCAGAGTTGATTGGTCGGTGTGCGGTCTACAACTTCCGGGGTTATTGCAAACCATCTAGTGTATTCTGATTCCTGACATAGTCGCTGGAGAGAAATTTAAGTGAGCGGAGGTAGTAAGTGGCTATCTCTAGCATTCTATAACATTAGTTTTGTTCAGTAGTTCACTAATGCGTTGTTGATGTTCGCATTTAAGTTTTCATCTTTCTTACCTTGATAGTTGTGGATAAATCCTTGTTGGTTGAAGATTTGGTGATGGGGCAGATTTATGAAGCTGGTGGAGAATACGACACACATTTACACACACATTTTGCCACAGAAAACCATTAACCGGAAGTTCTGCAAACCTAAAGAGGAACACTTCCGGCCGTTGTGAGAAAGGTCTACTATACGTAGTAAATAACAATACAATTCTATTTTTTTATCTTAAGAAAATAAGAAATATTCTAATCTTTCTGATCTTCTACACCAGGCATGTCCAAACTATGGCCCGGGGGCCAAATGCGGCCCTCAGACAAGTTTTTCTTGGCCCTCAGACTTCCAGGTGAATTGGCCCAAATTACATTGCATCAACTGAAAAATTATTTTTTACTGCAAGTTTTTTTGAAAATCTACCTTGATAAAGCTAATATTTCATATTTAGTGTGTGGTTTAAGGATCTTAGCATGAATAAAGACCGATGCCTCATTCTAACGTGTTAAACACGCACACATTTCAATTATTCCCTGTACTGAGCATCAGTCTACAGCCCTCAATCGGCCCTCTGCTTTGTCTGTGTTTAGATATGTGGCCCTTGATGAAAAAAGTTTGGACACCCCTGTTCTACACAAAGCAGTAACATGCCCAAGGAAGTCAGCTCATGTCCAGGCCATGTTACAAGTCAGCTCTGAGGAGTGAGGCTGCATGTTTTTCTATGTATTTAACACCAATAAACTACACAAAATACCTAAGTGTATTTATATGTTCAAACGTTCCACAGTAGGACTTTAAATAAAAACATTTTGTACTTTTTAGGCCTTGGTGTAGTTTTGACCACCTTGTTTTGGCATCACATCACTTCCGCACTTTGTTGAGTAGTAAATTTGTTGAGATAATTATGGAGTCAGTGCGTCTGTATGTGTGCATGTGCTGTATAAATGTGTCAGGTCGAGGCTTTTTAAAAACACAGTAGAAAAGGGCAGGTTTCAGTCAGGTCATTTGTCAGCTGTCCAGTGGAATGTTAGAGGACAATTCTGAACCATTACCATATCCCGATAGAAGGATTTTTCGATGGTTATGATGTTATGAACACTATGGAGCGACAGCAGCAGCAGTGATGGAGACCTATAGCTTTTATCCAATTTATCAATGATTTCTGTATGATCTTGTACGACAGCCATCAGGTGTCGGCAACGGTGCGCATGCAAGCGGTGACAACTTAGCGCTAAAATGGTGTGTGAGGCTACATGTTTAAGATTTGTGCTCTCTAGAATCAAAGAATTACATAAAAAAATCATAAAAATCAAAACAAGGATGACAGAGACAGCTGAAGACACATTTAAGACAAGGGACATTTGAAAGGTGCTGGTTCGGAGTAACGCCAACTGATTTTGTTTTGAGTCGATGAAAAATTCAATGGACTCAGTTGACTTTACTCCTCTTCAGACCTGTTCAACACAGTCAGCTCAAATATCAGACACAGGGTTTGTTTCTCGGACAAAGCTGCATGTTTCCATGGAGACATTAGTATTGGAAGCAGTAGCAGAAGTAGTAGTAGTAGTAGTAGTAGTAGTAGTAGTAGTAGTAGTAAAGGTAGTTAGGGTTAAGGGGAAGAGGAAGAGGTAAGCCCATCGCAGTTGGTTACAGTGATATGGGGAATGAGGGTTTGGGTCCACCACTGACAGGAGAAAGAGAGGACGCAATAGATACGTAAAGGTTAAAGGTCAACGGTCAAATGTCAGAAATCCAAAGCGACATTTTGGGTTAAATTGAACTCTATTTGCTTTAACGATATCACGAAAGAATCCAATCAATTCAAGGTTAATCACCACAAATTGACAAATATCTAACAGAATCTTTGTGCCAAATTAACTTACATGTAGCTTATATTTTAAAATACATACATACAATATTTTATGAAAGGCACATTACGTCATTTTTTAGCCGTAATGTTCCGATGGCTGTAATTGGTCATAATATCCATGGAGAATGATCCTGAACATGGGTTTAACTTTCTCTTTCCGTGGAATCGTGCAGTATGTGACTCCAGAAAGTTACATAGTGTTTCTTTTAGCAAGCCAGGCGTACTTAAGGTTCCATATTAATGCTCGCATTGTGCGTCATTACATGTTCTAAAGACCATTGCATTAGAGCGTTTGTAAAATAAAGCAGCTCATGTCCTCTGCTTTGTGCCGTCAGTGGGATCTACACAGTTCAACAGGAGGGGCTTGTCCGCTTCTCTCCCGTTTCAAACAGGCAGCTTCGTGAAACACAACAGCTTCACACCACAGGGTTCTGCTCCGTGGACCAGAGCAGAACCAAAGGAAAACACTGGATCTGTCACAAAGTGCTACTAGGGACATGTGGCAGTATGCTGTGTGCTCAGCCATACTGCTCAGAGGGACGACTGCGACAGACGAACCAGGAGCCCGCTGCTTTGACCACTTTAGCAGAGCTGTGAGGCCTAAAGTCTGTGTCTGAGAGCTCTCTGGAACTGTCAGCACGACTGCCAACTGACGACAGATCAACCTCATCTGATCACCTTTATTCACTAAATGTGGTCACATACAGTAATGTTTTTTACAACACATACCACATGTTTGAATTAAAGTCATTAAATTAAATCTATTAGTACAAGATATGATCACAAGTTATTTTTACAGTATATAGTCAGGTTTAATGAGTTTCTGTTTTTATGATATATGTTACTGTTATTTTTACAGTATTAGATTTTAGTATTAGATTAGTACAGTATTAGATTAATAGTAGAGTTATTTTTATGCTTTTATAACAGACCTGGGCGTTGTACAGCTCCAGGGCCACATACAGCCTTTTGTTTGACTCTGACTGGCTCCTTTAAGATCATTTAGAATTACAAAATAAACATATTTCATAATTTTACCTCATGCATGGACTAAAGTTGCATTGCTTTTATTTTAAAGTAATTTTTTGAATGACATTTTTTGTTAAGCAACCTCACTTTTTCATTGTTTAAGTCAGAACATAAACTCTTACCAGTCTGACCAACTCATCTAAACAAAGATATTTACTGCGTTTTATAAAGAAGTATAATTAATATTATGCCGAATTTAGTTAAGCAAGTTTGGTTAAGCCCTCCACAATATTTTCTGTTTCTCATGAGGCCCCATGGAAAAAAGAATTGTCCACCTCTGTTTTACAAGATATGAATATATTTTTACCAGGTATTATAATGTTTTTACAAGTTACTGTTACCTATTTATTAGGGCTGTAACGATAACCAAGTCTCACGATACGATATTGTCCTGTTATGAACCTCACGGTATGATATTTATTGCGATATCGTGGGAAAGCTCACGATATGGTGGGGAGGCTCACGATTAGGGATGTAACAATATACAAATCTTTCAATACAATATTTTCACAATATACATTTCACGGTACAGTATTCATTGTGATATGGCAAACAAACTGTTAATATCCTACTTTTTCCTCTTAAAATGCCTTGACAAGACTTAATCCAAAGAACTAAGACTTAAAAGTGTTAGAACTGTTATTTCTTCTTGTAGTCTGCACTGAAATGGAGCAAAGGATCATGGTCTATGTAGTTCCCCCTGTCTTTTTTTAGCTGTTGCTGCACCATAACTCTTCATTTAAGCAAAGAGACTTGTAATTCAATATATTGTGATGGTCCATGATATTATTGTGAGAACTTTAATGACACGATATCACAATATTTCCGTTATTGTTACATCCCTACTATTTACAAAACATAGTAGTAGTAAATAGTAAATTTATCATGTAATTGGCAGGGGAAATAAAAAAACATCTTGTAAAAACTTCCCCATTAGGTTAATTGTAAAAAATATAATATGCTGAAATGTTTTTATACTCAGCGGCCTATAAACCTAACATCATTTAGTGTTTATGATGACCACTTATACCTATATTTTTTCATATTGCCTGGATTTCTCGTGCTAATATCTGGAGTTCTACATGGCATTAATACTAAAATCCTAAAGGCAGATGGAGAGGTAAGTTCTGCAGAGGAGGATTAGTAGGAGGGGTCTGGCAGGTTGGGCGCTGTTTAGTTGGTGCTAAAGCTTATCAGGCAGAGCAGGGCTACAGCCTCAGAGTGTCAGCAGAGAGACTGTTACAGCGCACAGACACCAGAGGGCGGCGTCACCCATATCGCTTATGGTTAGGGTGTTAACGACCCAAACCACAGCCTTTATCGCCGGCTGTAGTCTCTCTGCAGACAGCTCCTGAGCGGTGAGCACAGAACACAGTGATAGTCCATAGCTTGAAGTCCTCAGCGACATGAGGGCTGCTCCTGCACGCCTCTGGAAGTGTTACTGACGATGGATCTCAGGGACACATTAAACCAGGCGTGGCTCAAAGGGCTTAGGCAGGTTTAATGCAGCCAGAAGAGAAATGAGGCAGGGATGGAGCCCCAGGGTCAGGCCAGGCACACCAGCTCCTGTCTACACAACTGCACATGTCACTTCTATAAATAAGTATAATGATTCAAAAGACAATATTTCTTCTGCTGTAGATTGTATATTTTAGCTTCCAAATTCCACTACTTGTATTACTCACCTATTTGATCTCTGTTACAATGTCGTTTCCTCATCACAAACAGACCTGGAGTTGTGTTTTGTTTCATTCACACATGTTTAACACACAAATCTTGCACATTTAGGCCGTTCTTCTGTTCTCAAACTGAAAACACTTCCACTGTGTGATGTGATTGAACTCCACACCTTCACTAGAGTTATTTGAATAATTTGTAATAATCCACTAATGACACAGAGTAGGTTCATTAGCAGATTATTAATTCTGGTTCAGTCCTGGTTTAGTCCCGGTCCAGTCCTGGTGTAGTTCTGGCGATCGGCTTGGCGGTTGCGGTGTCTATATTTTATAATCTGCTAATGACACGGCATACATTTTCTTGTTCTGGTGTTTGTGGCTCCCTGCCCCAGTGAGGCTCTCTAAATGAAGGAGAACCAGAATGCACACTCTGAATTTATGAACAGTTTATCCTCAGCACGTTACGTCATCCATGCATCTCTACTGTGTGTTAGATTAAAGGGCTGTCGGACTACTGGAATTGGCTAAAATGTGGAAACGATTTACCTAAAGCGTGGGAACAAATTACATATTGTGGGAATAAAATAGTATTTTGACGCCACATTTTAGTATCTTTTTTCATGCTCATCATCAGGCGGGCTCCGTACTCACGAGGTGGAACAGCATTTAGAGTTTTGGAGATGTAGACAGCCACAATGCAAGGTTACTCCAACATGTGTAATGAAACAAAACACAACTCTGGGTGTATTTTTGTGAAGGTAACAACATTCCAACATGATTAAAAGTTCGCAAGAGTCAATTTAGCAAAATGGAATCATGACCTTTCACATCTGATTCCAAGGGTAGAACATCACATGTTGGTGTATTATACAGATCTAGTACTGTTTAACTGTGATTCTTGACCCATATGGCTGTAGCATAGTCCTAGAGTAAAGACAGGAGTGTGGTGGTGCAAAGGCTGTCAGGGCGGAGGTCCATCCCCGGGCACAGGGGTGGAGCACAAACAGTGTGGCTATAGAACAGAAGCCCTGGGGCTGGGGCACAGGGCTTCAGGCGGCTGCCTTTACTTTGTGTGTGTGCCTCTGCCTCACTCGGCCGAGGCGTCTGCGTCCTCAAAGGACACCCTAGTGGACTCTCGGAAGTCGGGGTGCTGCAGGTCCGATAAGAATTTGGTGGGAGTGAGCAAATGGGTGGAACCTGTGGAGGAACAGAGCCGGCTTCACCACTGGTCTGTCACACGAGCCCCTCCCCACGCGGTTCAGCCCCTCCTCCCAGCACTACTCCACATACACACAGACACATACACACAAACACATACACACACTGACAGGCAGGGGGTGTGTGCGGGCTGAGAAATCACTAAAGTTTCTTCAGTGCATTCATACTTTAAATTTGATATTATAAATCTGATTGAGCAAAAGTACTCGCAGGTATATTATATCGAGTATTGTGCCCCGTTACATTTTACGGGGCTACATAGACTATAGGATCATTCTGCAGCACGTATGTAACAGCACAGAAGTGTGATTTCCAAAAGCCCGCACCTCTCCTTGTCTGCTCACATACAAACATTCACCGAGTTGTACAGAAACAGACACTGGTCACTGAAATTCAAAGACAACAGTTGGTTTAGAGACATGGGCAGAAGCAACAGAGTCCAGAGAGACCACGAGGACTGGCCAAGCGTTAGCACAGAGATACACAGGGACTTAACATCAACAACTGCTTTACCGCAATACAAACACACTAGACTCAAACAGATTAGAAATGAAATTAATGTTGTAATCCTGAATTTGCCTGCAATTTTAGCTGGATCACCCTAATATAGATTTAAGACATTAAAATGAATATACTACTGGTAACTGTGGCGAAGGAAAAGGTATAGTCAAATAATACAAAATAATACATTGTTTTACCTTGATACCATGTTTGGATACTGTTAAGTCTTGAGACAGCGTAGAGCAAGAAAATTACTGACAAAGAATTTAACTCACAGCTTCAAAAGTTATTGGTAAAGGTAGTGATTTTAGGCACTTTGAAATATCTTTAAAGTCTTATAGATCAAGTATCGGTATCGAAAACAAGGTATCATTCCGGCACTAATATCAGTACTGAAACGGTACCCAGCCCTAATCCGTGATTTCCCGTGCGTTTCCTGTCCGACCCCGGCCACGCCCATATTTGGCGACTCACCGATGATGGCCTCCCACTTGCCGTTGGCCTGCGTGACCTCGTAGGCGCAGCGCATCTCGCTGAAGGACACACCCCCGATGATGAAGACCATGATGCGCGGGCCGGTGCGGTACTCTCCGGGGGTCTTGTTCTTGTGCCAGTGTCCGTACCGAGCACTGCCAGGACACGGGCGAGGTGAAGATACATGGAAAGGAAGAGACCAGAAGATCAACCAATAAAGGGCCACATCTATGAGTCTTTTCTTTAAAATGTTTGTTTCTTCCACTTTAACAAGATGCTGAGAGAACTCTGCACCAGAGTCACAAAGCGTTCTTACACATACAAATTTCTTCTTAAGTGACAGTTGCGCCAAATTCACCAACACCCAAATACAAACACCTCCACAATAATTTACAATGAATTTACATAGAAAATTAATCTGTATTTAGTTAGAAACACCCTCTGATCTTTCAAATATGGCCAATATGTGTTTGGTTTTATGACATATGAAAGTGTGATGGAGAAAGAGTGAGGAGGAGGTCAGGTGGAGCGTCTCCAGACTACGACTGTTTTACAGCATCAGCAGAGATTTCAAATGTCCAGACTCACATGAACACACTCAGGGAGGAAGATTTATGTCATAAACTTATTGAAATAAGCGTCCGCTTTTGTTGTATTTATCAGCTTTTTGCGATTGTGGACCTGCTGTAAATATTGAGGGAGGGGGGCTAGGGTGGGGGTGCACAAGAGTGAGCTCTGGTCATGTGGGGTCAGGGGGGGTGATCAGGTACAGGGCTGTGACAGGCTCACATGGAGGCACTGGGGCTGGGACAGACTGAGGCTCACTGCAGCTTGGAGAAAGTCTGTTAGACCCGGTAAACACAGGCACAATTAACTCTCTAACCTCACTTTTCCTCCATTGACTAGACTCCGAGCCTCATGTGTAGGTGGATGAATGGGACCTGGCCGTTCAGACTGAAGTCACATGTCAAAAGATCAGATATGTATCATTTTACGAGCACATAAGTGCCCTGGGTCACATTTGAAAAAATTGGATCTAAGTCTTTCAGACTGCCGTTAAAAGATCAGATACTGGTCACATAGGGGCCAAAAAATCAGATTTGGGTCACTTCAGGCTGCAGTGTGAACGTAGCCTAAGTATCACAGCTACGATTTAGCCTTTATTTTGCATTGAACTGTATCAAATTTATATGAAATATACCGTACTGAATTGAAAGTGCACTGTATCGATATGTGTATCGTATCCTGGCCTATGTATCGTATCTGCAACTCCTTAATGATAACCAGCTCTAGTAACTAGCATCCTAATTATTCATCCTAAGAGCTGCTTTCACAATATATCTACTGGGGTAACACAAAATTGAGTTTATTACATGAATAACGTGGGTACTGTTCCTTTAAGTCCAACATCAGAAGCCCCTAAAAAGCAACTGAGTTTTTAAGTATCTGTCTATCTATAGCTAATGCCTTGGTCTGGTCTTAATTGCTCTCTGGGATCAATAAAGTTTTCTGAATTTGAATCTGCTCTCACATGTGCTGAATAATGTGATAACTGTACACGTTGGTGTGGAGGTGTGTGTCCTCTGATGACCTCGTGTCCCATACACAGACACATGGAGGGGAGGAGTAGGAAACCACTGTATCACTTACAACAGCCAATCAGATCAATATTCTGCCTGCACCATTAACAGCAGCCGACCAGATCAATACTCCAGCACACCGACCAATATCGGGGCTGGTCAAACAGTGCATATGTGTCCAAATCCAATCCACTTTATTTCTATAGCACATTTTACGAACAAAGCAGTTTCTCAAGTGTTGCACAGAGATGAGAAAATGAAGACAACAAAAAGGTAAATTGCTAAATGCTGGTGTTACCAATCCTAAAACAATAAAACCTTAAAATCAAACAAAAGCTGCAATTAAGAAAATACAAGACACAGAGGACCACACAACTCACATGGTGTTAAAAGCCAGAGAGTAAAAGTGATTTTTAAGACGAGACTTAAAGGGCCCATCTCATACAAAATAACTCTTTTCACATTGTATCTTCTGCACATAAACAAGCACAATTTGGGTTAGGGTTAGTTTTGGAACATCCATTACACAATAGTTCTGAAATCTTACTGATTTCTTGGAGGCAGTCACGGACCAGAAACTATGAAAGGCTGACTAATGCTCCTCCCCCCGCCCGTCCTGAGAAAGCACAGGCTCCGCCCTCCAAACGTGACGTAGGCGACGAGTGAGCCGCCCTTCCTCCGCCCATCTCAGGGAGGGAGGGGGAGTCAGAGCGATATTTCACGTGGGCATGTTATACCTCGTTATAAAGCTTAGACTCTCTACATTATGTTCATTTAATCCAATTTACAGACAGATAAATGTCCTCATATGTGGCTCTGCATCAGTATTTATCTGCGGTGTAATTTGTCTGTGTTCGTACTGTCCCTGAACACACCCCCAGAGTCATGTCACTTCACTCACGTGCTATTGTTTACACCCGCAGCCGTGCGCAACACTGAGATTATATTCTTTTTATGGACAATCGGTTTGAGTCTGGATTAAAAGGACTTTTATTAGTGCAGACTTGTGATGTGAGGAGGAGCCTGTGTGAGCGGTGAGTGTTGGAAATACATCGACTTTGAAGCTAGTTTTCGCTATTTGTTATTAGCGATTAGCTGCTGTAGCTCCTGCACATAAACAGACTGTTTTCTATTGATCTATTGTAAAGTGACTATATTGGCCGTATATTTGTTACTGGACCAGCATTGATATGTAAATGAGCGCTGAATAGACGTGTGAATGATCCACATTTATGCATATAATTAATTACCGCGGCGCGCACGTTTTTACGGCTAAAGGCTAATAGCGATTGTTTATTTACTAGCTAGGAGTTATGGGTCGGTCACGATCGAAGCGGCTCTTAGAACCGGCTCTTTGAAGCGAACAACGGGAGCATGTTTCTTATTGGGAGCCGTGTTTTCTCTTTTTCTCACTTTTTCTCTTCATGCCGCATGTAGACCCGTAGTTTGACAGCAGCAGCGTCTGAAAACGAAACTTTCAGAAATCTGCGTGTGCATAGGATCAAAAACAAAAAAAAGGTGCATATTTGCCTGCAGTTCAGCATAAAATGAATAAACCAGGACTAATCTTGGGTTCGAGTGAGGGAGAGACCAAGTCCCGACACTCAGTCCTGGTTCAGTTCTGGTTTAGTCCTGTTTTAGTCCTGGTTTAAATCTGTTTTAGTCCTGGTTTAGTCCTTTTTCAGTCCTGGTTCAGTTTTGGTTTAGTCCTGCTTGCAACAAAACAATCTCAAGAGTCGCTTGAGAGCTGAAAGAGCCAGCTGCTTTAGTGAGCCGAGCCAAAAGAGCCGGTTCTCAAAAAAAAAAAAAATGGAATACCCATCACTAGTAGCTAGAATGTGATGCAAAAATGCCATTAGGCCAATCTACTGTATGTAAATATGACGTAAAGAGTCAGAATAACAATAAATGTTGCCTAAATAAACCCAATTTAGAATCCACTAGAGCCAAACCTAAGTTTTTTAAACAATTCAAGATTTACAGTGAATTTTTACATCACTAAATATATCGGTGATTATCGGCTGTCGGCAGCTCCAACTTCCATTTTATCGGTTTCATATCGGCCACAACAGAATCCATATCGGTCGGGCTATAATATTTTGCATCAGATGGGCCCTTTAAAACTTTCCACTGTGGGGTCTGTTTTTGGGACATGGGAGGGCAGAGCGTTTCAGAGTTTGGGGTCAATCACAGAGAAGGTCCCATTTTCCTGGTTTTAAGTCTCGTTTTTGTTCCCACAAGCTGGAGCTGGACCTCGGACCTCAGGAAGCACAGAGGTGTAAATTTGGATGAGGTCCAGGGCATAATGTGGGGGCAGTCCATTCAAAGCTTTAAAAACAAACACAATCTTAAAATCAGCTCTAAAACAAACTAGAAGCTGGTGGAACATTAAAATCTTGGTAATGTGCTCATGTTTTTTGGTTCTAGTTGAAAGGCATGCAGCAGAATTTTGGACCAAGTGTAAGTGAGGAAGTGTGTGATAAAGGTACGATCATTCCATTGTTATGTTATGCAGAGCTAGAGTGACGCAGGTGACCTCATTTTTGATCCCACTCTTGTGTCTGTGTGGAGTCTACAGCATACCAAAGCAGCTGCATCCCACTAAATCAATGACGTCGTAAAAACAAAGGTCACATGCTGTAAAATAGGTTATAAAGGATGGCACTAAATGTGAGATTAAAACACTTTGTAATATCTGTAATGACTTCTCAATTCTGTCAAAACATCAAAATCACACTTGGTATTGTGTTCTTGGATAAATTCAGAATCACATGGAATCATAATGTCATTTATAACAGCAAGATTGTTACGTTGTCTGGACTTAAATTTGTCAAGGATTTAGATTGATTTATTTAAAGGGACAAATGTAAATGTTTGGGGCCAGCAGTACCCTCACTGATGTGGGACCCCTCAGAAATGATGTTCATCCCACAGTCACCAACCTCAGCGTCACCTTAGACAGTGATTTTAAATTTGACCAACAGATCAACAATGTTTTAAAATCAAGTTTTTATCATTTCATCTTTTAAACTTTTTGAACAAGTTATGCATGTTTTTATTTCATCACGTCTGGACGATTGTAACGCACTTTATTCCGGCATTTCACAAAACGCACTTTACCGACTACAGTGAGTGCGTACACATGCACATCAGTATCCTGGTTATTAGCCATATTCCGGTTATGTCAGTATTTGGGTTACTGCGTTTACATGTGCACTGAGAAACCAGGACACTCATATTCACGTGTACATGATCAAATGGAGTATCCTGGTTTCTTGACATAATCTTACAAATGTGCAAGCACAAACATTTACTTAAATCAATTTCATAAACCAGGAAAAATACAAACCGTGAACTCCTTTAGCCTAAGAAGCTTGGGAGGTTTAACCAGCGGTACGGAGTTACGAGATATCTCACAATCCACTGTGCAGATTCTTCATTAAAATCTTCTGCATAAATAAACTCAACTTTACAACATATAAACCATAACCACTGTAGAGCCACATCAGCCCGTTTGATCATATAATTCAGCTCTGATCACATTTGTTTATGTTTTACAGAAACGAAACTTAAGACTAATGAACATAAACTGTTAGCGGTGATAAAAACAGCTCACTCCTTGTGCCGCTCAGCTTCTTTTGGACTACATGACATGACTCAATTACAGTAATTTTACTCATGTGATCACTATAATTATGTTGGTCACTTCATTTATGTTGGTCACTTTAGTTATGTCGCTACTGTTGTGGTGAAAAGACTGGAAAGTGTCTTTTGGACGCATGCACACTCAACTTTATGTTGCAGTAACCTGGATACTGCGTTTACATGCCACAGTATCCCGGTTACTATCGGAATAGACTAGCTACAGTAACCCAGTTTCTAATAACCGGGATACTGCCATAGCCAGAATACTGAAACCGGGGTACTGCGTTTACATGCACCATGAAGAAACCGGGATATTCAAAAACCCGATCATAACCGGGACACTGATATGCATGTATACGCACTCAGTGAGTCCAAAACTCTGCAGCGCGACTTTTAACAGGAACGAAAAGAAGAGAGTACATTACCCCAGTCCTTGCATCTTTGCACTGGCTTCCTGTTACTTTTAGAATTGATTGGAAGATTTTATTGTTTGTTTTTAAAGCTTTGAATGGACTGGCCCCATAGTATGTTGCGGACCTCATCTAAATTTACACCCCCGCACGCTCTGAGGTCTGAGGTCCAGCTCCAGCTCTTGGTGCCTAAGACGAGACTTAAAACCAGGGGGGACGGGACCTTCTCTGTGGTCGGCCCTAAACTCTGGAACACTCTGCCTCCCCACGTCCGAACAGCCCCCACTGTGGAGAGATTTAAGTCTTAAGACCCACTTTTATTCTCTGGCTTTTAACACTGTGTGTTGTGTGGCCCTCTGTGTCTTTTATTTATTTTTATGTGTTTTTATTAGTTTTATTGATTTAATTTATTTATTGGTTTATTTATTTCTATTCTATGATTTTGTTTTTATTTTATTTTACTGGTTTTATTATTTTAAGACTAGTATTATTTTAGTAGTTTATTTTATCATCTTATTATTGTTATTATTATGTATTTGTGCAGCACTTTGGAAACTGTTTTTTGTGAAATGTGCTATAGAAATAAAGTGGATTGGATTGGAAATAGTAAATATTTGATTGTTGCAGGAATATATTATAGGTAGAACTCCTCTTTCTTTTCCAAACTCAAACACTGTATTATAGCACAAAACCTATCTCTGCTTAGAAAAGAAAAGCAGGTTTGCAGTGGTGCAGAGGGAGGTACCTGACAGCGGTGGTGCTGAAGGAGGCCGAGGAGCGGGTGGAGATGTAGGGGTAGTGCTTGGTGTCCAGTTTGTCGTCAATAGCATCCTGTGGAGACGAGGAGGAGGAAGAAAAGAGGTCGTCAGATTTACTGCCCTGTACACACGGAACAAAGCCCACAGATGTGCACTGGGATGAAGCATTCGATCACCTCAGCAACCCCCGACTCTGGGCAGTGTGAAATGTGAAAAACAGTAATTTATTTTAGGATGTTATTATATTACCGTATTTTCCGCACTATATGGCGCACTTAAAAGCTTGCAGATACCTTCTCTCAAATGCAGTGAAGCAAAAACGTAATGAGTATCCACTGTACGGTACTTAACTACTTTTACCACTGCTCGACAACACTGTCGTCACCATATCAAGGAACCACAGTCCCATTCACGCACACATTCATACACCAGTGTACGCAAACACTGAGGGTGAGCTGGGTTAAGTGTGTTGCTCAAAGACTAAAAAAAAGAAAAAAAAGAAAAAGTGAATCAATAACAATTCTATAACAGATACATCTAAAGTAGTCAAAACTTCTCCTGTATTCACATCACTTTCTTTCATGTTTTTGTCAGTATATTTGTGTCCTAACCTCCATGATGTCCTTGACCACCGGGGTCCAGCGGGACAGCTGGTACGTCTGCTCACTCACGCGCTCCTTCCTGTCCATCTTCTTCCCTCTGCGCAGTGTCGACTGGGAAAACACACAACACGCCATGTCACGGTTTTTATTCCAGATGCATGTGTAGCAGCAAAAGTCAGAGAACAGAGGATGAGAGCGTCTAAGAGAAGTTTAATCATCTTTAAACGGGACTGATTTAGCAAAATTGACCATGTTATAATGCTGTTCCCACATCCTCATCTTACTCAAAGTTATATTCACATTGAATCTAAATACAATGTTTGATTATGTCCTGCGTTGTTTTCTATTTGATATGGAGCCCACCCGATGACGTACGTGAAAAAAGATATTAATTCATGTCCTCAAATTACTGTTTCGTTCCCACAATATATAATTCGTTCCCACACTTTAGCTAAATCGTTCGCACATTTTAGCTATATCGTGCGCACGTTTTAGATATATCGTTCGCACGTTTTAGATATATCATTTTGATTAAATCGTTTCCGCATTTTAGCTAAATCGTTCCCACGAATTAAGAAAATGCTGCCAATTAAACAAACAGGGCGTGGTGTTCGGTTGATTTGGCCAGTGCTTCTTGCATGGCTAGCTGGACCTCGGACTTCAGCAGACACAAATAAAGGTAAGATATATCATTATTTATATGTTTTTTCCCCCCATTTTTGACAACGTATATTGTTCCCTACTCAAATGTATGCTTATGTAAATGTAGGGTTATATAAAATCCAGGATCGTGTAGTAGCGTGGCATAGTGTGCATGTTATAGCTAAATAAAAAAACAAAACAAAATACTAGCTTAAATACTAGCAAGCTAATGCTGCTTGCTTATAGTGGAAATGTTATGGAGTAAAATGACAGTAAAATTGTCCTAATTGTTTACTGTGTGTTCATGTAGCAATAGATGCTCAACTGCTGCTTTTTTGAGGGAGCGTAACACAGAGGAGGGAGTCATCCAGACACTGAAGGATGAAAATGTAAGTTTCTCTGTTTTTCCACCTCAGAACATTGATCTCGTAACATCTATAGCCTACAATACAAGTGCCAAACACACATCCATGTAGAATGTATGATACCGATTTGCATGAAATGCAAATAGACCTGTATAGACCCAGTGTTAGCCCCAATTTTGTCTTAGCTTTAGCCATCTATCACCACAAACTATGAAATACCAGGACTGTTTTGAAGACTTACAACCACTCAACTACACGTGAGTAACACCAGAGCCTGATAGAAATCATTGCCACGTGTAGAATTGTTTTTGCATTGTTCATTGACTTAGCGATTAGCATCGAAATGAAGTTATATGCTAACGACCACGTAATAAACATTTTGTAAATCAAACGCTATGCTGGACAATAATACACTAAAAAATAAAGAGGGCCACAACAGTTTGACAAGAAACCCCTCGATTTATTTCATCCAGAGCCACATAAATCCTGCATACAGTGAACTTTAAACAATAGTGCTTATTGACACATATAAGTAGACCGTGTCCTCAGAATCAAGCACCTCACTCCTGGAATAACTCTGGCACTTTGTGTCAGGACCTGATAAAACTTTTACATTTATTGTCCTGAGTATATATTTAATGAATACCTTTATACATGGTTATGCTATTACCTTGATACAATGTGTAACACATGCAAAATGGAAACATGTGAAATGGAAGCGTCTCTCGCTAACTTAACGTCACTTAGGCTAATGTTTACCTTTATCAAACGCCTCAACAGCTAAGGACTAAAACAGGACTAAACCAGGACCCCCGTCCTCTCTCTCTCCACAAAGATTAGTCCTGGACTTGAAAGAAAGTGTTATATTTAGGAGGCATGAAGACAGATCATTTTAACAAAAGCTTTATGTCATGCGTCAGGAACAACGACACAACTCCCGCTCACATCACGCACATACGTAATGACGTAATCCTACGGATGCCGTACTAATAATACATCACATCCTCCTTTTTAACAAGTTATATGTTCAAAATTAATTATTACGGTATAACTTCTTTCCATTAAGGTACCCTTATAACCAACTGTACAAAACATATATATATTTTTTTTCATATTAACAAAATATAATGATGGATTATTGCCTATAACTCAGAACCTCCTTAATATTAACCATCTGAAATCAAACTTAAGCACATTAATACATTCACATTACTCTTTGTATCTAGCTGGTAGTTTTACTGCTCTGCCAGATCTTGTTATGTATGAAACTGCATCAGCATTAACATTTAACTGTGAATCATGTGCATCAACATGTTGATCAGGTGAATCAGTTTGGAAAGTCTCAGAATCGCTTCTTTGTATTTGAGAGTCCATTTCCAGATTAGTGTCTTGTCCGGTTGTTGTGAATGTCTTCTCCTCTGTTTTACGTAGATGCTTACGATTTCTTCTGTACACCCTACCATCAGGTGTACGAACAACAAATGAACGTGGCTGCTCGTGTTTGTGCAGGATCACTGCCGGCTGCCACGATTCTCCTCGTTGCATGCAAACATTTTCTCCATTTTGCAAGTCAGACAGTGTCCTTGTTTGTCTGTCAAAATATAGTTTCTGTTTTACCTGCTTTTCTTTCAGCTGCTGATGAGCCTTGTCAGATCAATCTGGAGTGAGCAGAGATGTTGCAGTTGGCAGTTTTCCTTTCAGCCTACATCCCATTAGTAACTGTGCTGGGGATAGTCTTACATTTTCCAGCGGTGTATTCCTGTACTCCAAAAGTGAAATGTAGGGGTCGCCTCTGCTACACTCTGTTTTCTTCAGCAGGTTCTTTATAGTCTGTACAGTCCATTGGATTGAGCGTGTGTGGGACTGGAAGTGATGTGTCTGAACTCCCAGTTTTCTGCAAACTCTTTAAACTCAGCACTGGCATACTGAGGACCATTATCTGATATAAGCACATCAGGTATACCATGCCTAGCAAACATTGACTTTATAGCCACTATAACACTGGAACTAGTAGTGTCCTTCAGCTTCATGAGTTCTGGAAACTTTGAAAAGTAGTAGGCAAACGTACAGATTTTGAAGTGGATTTAACCGACTTTCAGGAAAATCCCTTAGTTGAAGATTTTACTGTTGAGGAACTGTATGAAAGAACCAGGTTGTCAATGCTGCGTTTTTACTTAAAAACCAAGAAGATACAAAAAGGCACGGAAGGGAATCTTGAGGGGAGCAGTGTTGAATCTGTACATATATATGATCACTTTGATGTACCATCTCAACCTTCAGGCCGCTCCAGTTCAACAGTTTTGGAGCTAAACAATTTAGATGTGATTTATATTGGACCTTTTGGCAGCACTGAGTCTTCAGATGGTGATGCAAGTCTTTTTAATAGTTTACCAGAACAAGAAACAACACTTAATGTGAACGACTTGGAAGATAGTGGGACTGTGACTTTGCGCACTGCAGACCTGTTAGAAATGGAATCCTCCAGTCATCTTGATGATACTTTGCCACTAACTGAAGAAGAGTTGCCTACTTTTCTGAATATGTCTAAAAAAAAGAAAACCATTGTTGTGGTTCATCGAGGCCAAATTCTTAATGAGCTTATTCAAGTGTTTTCTGAAGAAGAGATTGTGAACAAGGATATCCACTTTAAAGTCATTCTTCCTGATGGGAAAGTGGAAAAGGCCAAGGATGATGGTGGTGTACTAAGGGATGTGCTATCAGAGTTTTGGAATGACTTTTATGAACAATGCACCCTGGGGAATGACTTTAAAGTACCATACATACGACATGACTATGGAAAAGAGGAATGGGAAAGTGTTGGTCGAATCATTGCTTTTGGTTGGAAACAAGCAAAGCATCTTCCAATAAAACTTGCTCCTTGAGCAAGCTGTTCTTGGTGATGTAGAGACTGATCTGTTGGATAGTTTCCTCAACTACGTGTCACACTCAGAGCGAGTCATATTTCAGACTTGCTGTTCAGATTTTGAAAGTATTGACAAAGATGAGTTATTAGAAGTTCTTGATTTGCATAACTGCCGCAGACATCCAACACCAAACAATATAAAGCAAATCTTAAGAGAGCTTGCTCACCAGAAATTTGTTCAGGAGCCAGCCTTTGTCATTGATCAGTGATCACTGTTGCAATTCATTATTGATTAACTCTCTCAAATGGATATAGAGGTCAACTGTTTGATACACATCATTTGAAAAATACAAATTATGCTCAGCCATCAAGTCCACGCAGATTTTGAACACATCTTCATCACATGGGAAATCTCTGAAGGTGCATTCTTCAAGGCAGAGTGAGACTTTGTCCATGGCTATAGGATGCAAAAGGTTTCTACCACCATACAGGTGTGGAACCGCGTACAAAATGGAAGGACGTCCATGAGGCGATCTTGAATTGTTGACTTGACGGATGCGATGGTTGTTCCAAGTCAGTGCAATCTCATTAAGTTCATCCTAGGATAAAGACAAATAAAATGTACAGTACATATTAAGCACATTGCTCTTCACTTTAACCACTAGATGGCACTGTCGTGTAATAATAGTTACTTATGTTGTTTATATTTGTTGTATAATAACTTATTAAACAGGATAAAAATATAAGGTTATTTAGGCTTACCTGTATTGTTTTCAGGAAACAGAATTGGATTAAGGACTTATCCAAAAAGTTGTCTAAAAAGTGTCCGTCTTCTTTGAGTTTGTCAAATAGATCCATCCAATATTGAATACACTCACTTCGCAGGGTGAGCCACCATCGTTCAATCCGCTGGTTTCCAGTGCTGGGACCTGAAAATACTGGGTCTGTTTCTGCTTGGTTTCCAGAATAATGCAAAAAGCGCTGAAATTCTCCAACATGACCATTCTCTGTCCCTAAATCAAGCCTGACTCTAGCTGGACAGCCACCTGCAGTGATCACAGCATCCATGAAGTAGCCAGCGATAACCTTTGGGTCGTTGTTTGTTTTGTAAGCTTCCAGCCATATCATCTTCCTGGAGAAACCGTCTATACATCCACTGATTGCAATTCCAAATGGCTTAATCTTGTCATAGCCATCAATATGCCAGACATAGTTGGAACCTCGACTGTGGTATACTCGTCTTCGTAGCCTGTTTCTTGATCGCAGATCAACACCTTCACTGTTCAATAATCGAAGTAAAATACGAACAGTCTCACGGTCTGTCACAATATTGTTCACCCAACATTTTTGGTGCATCCATCGATAGCCGTGGTACTGACCAGATGTCTCCAGCTGTTGCTCGATAAACGCTGCCACTTCAGCCACATCTGTTTTATTTTTACGCCGCCAGAGTCCTCTTTTGCTTAAAATCCGTTCAAGGGTGCGTTTGCTCACCGTGATTCCATGTGAATGTTCTTGTAAATGCAGTATTTCATTTGTTGTAAAGCCATTTTTGAAGTACTTCTCTGTCAACTCACACGCCATTGCATTGCATTTGAAAAGCCTTTGCTATCTGCTGAATGAGACCATAAAACTCATAATTACGAGTTTAAAACTCGTAATTATGAGTTTAAAACTCGTAATTATGAGTTCAAAAGTCATAATTATGAGTTTAAAACTCGTAAATATGAGTTTATGTACAAACCAATGACTATTTGTAGATCACCATCTGTGCATTTGTGAATATTTATGAGATAAAAGTAACCCTATAAAAAGTAACCCCATAAAAGCAACCCCATACTTAATACTTTGTACCACCTGCACTTGAAATTACATATGCAATATAAACTGGAATTATACATTAATATTATACACAATAGTATACTATACAATAATATAAACAATAAAGGTCAATGTGCTATTACCAACACCTACTGGATTAATTTAGCATTAATTATATTTGGTATTTTAATTATAAGAATAATTAAAAGTGAATTAGTGCCACACATAAATTAACCAAAATACAGTCAGAACATTACCAAATAAAATTTTATTGTGGGGTGTCTTTTTATAGCAAATATGTCCAGGGTGCCACAAATGTGAAGCCTTGGTGTGTTCATTTGTATGCTTGATTATATGATTTAATACATTCTCTTTATTCTTTTTTTCAGATTGACGAAACTGTCATTCCATTAATGACTGACCATGACCTGGCAAAGTACATCCCAAAAGTTGCTGACAGAATATCCATCGTCATTTTTCTGCAGAAAATAAGCAGCACACTTGAGTAGCATCTTCAAGAAAAGAAACCATACATTCAAGTCTTTGTCAAAAACTCATCTCAAAATGATGCGGGACCCTTGGACCCTCTTCTTCCTTTTCCTCCTCCTCCTCCTCTTCGTCCGCAAAGGAAACAAAAAGAAAGTGGACAAAGTTGGTGATGGGTGGGTGACTTATTACAGTTAAGTTTATGTTCATAGCTGTTTTTCTAGCTTTTCCTAACAGTTTTCCTATTTGTTTGTAAAATCCCTAATCCATAGCAAAGGATTCAATTTGTCAGCTAGACAAATGTTTTTTTGATTGAAAACGTTCAAAAACTGAAACTACTCTGAAATGCACACACCTACTTGTTTACAGTTTCTATTTGTTAGCTTTGTCTACTGTACTTACTAAGAGAAACTGTAAACAAGTAACAAGTAGTTTCTGTGTAGTTAGCGCCTCCCTTCAGGCAAATACAAGGCAGTATCCCCCAGCATTTGACCAGAACTAAAGAAGCAGCTTGGATAAGCTGCGAAATGTTTTCACTCAAAAAAGCTTTAGTCTATTTGACAAATTGAATTTGTCCTTTACCAGTTTTTCTATTTATTCTCAACGGTGGATGTTTGGCTATCGAGAAAACTATTTTGAAAAGTGTTTCTAACAAAACTTACTATAACTAATAGCATACAACTGAGAGCCACTGTCAACTGTGCAGTATACAAGTTCAATTAAAATATGAAAATGTCACTGTTTCACCCATTGACTTTTTTCTACATGGTATTGCTTTCATCACACAGTCAGATCACTTCAAAAGCAGTTGATTGTCTTGAAATTGCAAAATAATTTATATCTTAAGGAGCCATGTAACAGGACACTACTATCTGGAATACACTTTATTACGTTAACATGTTTTAGTACATTGTTCTATATTATGAGGTGTACCAACAGTCAATGTATATTTTAGCAAGAATCAAGATCTAGTTAAGTGAGAGATCTGGGCAACGTGATGGTGCATACAATATCTTTCTGTAGCCCTATTACTCCTATTTCTTCAGTCACTCCTACGTCTTCACTTATGTTACACATTGTATCATGGTAATTGCATAACCATGTATAAAGGTATTCATTAAATATATACTTAGGACAATAAATGTAAAAGTTTTATCAGGTCCTGACACAAAGTGCCAGAGTTATTCCAGGAGTGAGGTGCTTGATTCTGAGGACACGGTCTACTTATATGTGTCAATAAGCACTATTCTTTAAAGTTCACTGTATGCAGGATTTATGTGGCTCTGGATGAAATAAATCGAGGGGTTTCTTGTCAAACTGTTGTGGCCCTCTTTATTTTTTAGTGTATTGTCCAGCATACGTTAGATTTACGAAATGTTTATTACGTGGTCGTTAGCATATAACTTCATTTCGATGCTAATCGCTAAGTCAATGAACAATGCAAAAACAATTCTACACGTGGCAATGATTTCTATCAGGCTCTGGTGTTACTCACGTGTAGTTGAGTGGTTGTAAGTCTTCAAAACAGTCCTGGTATTTCATAATTTGTGGTGATAGATGGCTAACGCTAAGACAAAATTGGGGCTAACACTGGGTCTATACAGGTCTATTTGCATTTCATCCAAATCGGTATCATACATTCTACACGGATGTGTATTTGGCACTTGTATTGTAGGCTATAGATGTTACAAGATCAATGTTCTGAGGTGGAAAAACAGAGAAACTTACATTTTCATCCTTCAGTGTCTGGATGACTCCCTCCTCTGTGTTACGCTCCCTCAAAAAAGCAGAAGTTGAGCATCTATTGCTACATGAACACACGGTAAACAATTAGGACAATTTTACTGTCACTTTACTCCATAACATTTCCACTATAAGCAAGCAGCATTAGCTCGCTAGTATTTAAGCTAGTATTTTGTTTTGTTTTTTTATTTAGCTATAACATGCACACTATGCCACGCTACTACACGATCCTGGATTTTATATAACCCTACATTTACATAAGCATACATTTGAGTAGGGAACAATATACGTTGACAAAAATGGGGGGGAAAAAAACATATAAATAATGATATATCTTACCTTTATTTGTGTCTGCTGAAGTCCGAGGTCCAGCTAGCCATGCAAGAAGCACTGGCCAAATCAACCGAACACCACGCCCTGTTTGTTTAATTGGCGGCATTTTCTTAATTCGTGGGAACGATTTAGCTAAAATGCGGGAACAATTTAATCAAAACGTGCGAACGATACAGCTAAAACGTGTGAACGATTTAGCTAAAGTGTGGGAACGAATTATATATTGTGGTAACGAAATAGTAATTTGAGGCCACGATTTAATATCTTTTTTCACGTACGTCATCGGGATGTCATCGGGCGGGCTCCGTAATTTGAGGCTTTTTGACCAGAAAATGTCTGATCCCAGCCCACTCTAATAAAACTTTATTTTATTTTATTTTTTTTTATGTTTGTAAGCATAAACAGGGCTTCACAGTTAATTAACCTGTTTGTATTATTCAGATGTTATAGGTCAATTTTGTGGTTTATAATGAACAATATGTAAGACACAGATCTGCATATGTTATCAGTTTTTACTAATACTAATAAAAAAACATCATGTCTCCTTTAGGCAGTAAAATGTTTGAAGAGCTGCAGTCTAGAGTCTGATACTGATATAGATATTTTATGTAGCCTCCTCCCCACGCACACTACTGTAATTACTATACTATTGAGCGCACCCAAATATAAGCCATATTAACTATATTTTAAAAGATTAAAAAAAAGTGTACATGTATATATATATATATATATATATATATATATATATATATATATATATATATATATATATATATATATATATATATATATAGCTAGATAGATAGGTAGATAGATAGATAGAGATATATTATCTATATATATCTATATATATATCTTATATATATAGATATAGGTCACACTTGTCTATAAACAGCAGAAGTCCACATCATCAAGAACATTTTTGAGTTTGGGTCATCTGCTTTTATCGCCTTTGAAAGCTTTTGTCGTCTTTTTGCATTCCGTGTCAGTTCGTCATGCTGCTGTTGCCAAAATCTCACCATTAACTCACTGATGCCAACAGCTGTTGCTTCCTTCTTCCACAGACAGATCAGTTTAGCCTGATTCGTTTCCACAAAGTGAAACCGTCTGACCTTGCAGCATTAGGATTTGTTCACTCGACGGTAGGCGACTACTTTTTTTTATTTAACCAATTGCTGCTATTTGGTCATGACGTTTGTAATGCGCTGCTAACGGGGCTAACTGATATATTAAGCTTTTCCCATATCCCGTAGGAAGAAGGACAATAACGTCTTTCCCCTTAATAAAATTCACCAAACATTCTTTTTGTTCTGGCTTTAAATCCTTAATCCCTGGAATTGCTGTCAACAAAGAATGTATGGTTTTGTCTTCATCCATCTCGACGCTTTGTTTACTGTTGTGCTGTACCACAAAAGAGACGCAGACAGACGCGACGAGTTTGACAATTGACAATTCGCTAATTGGCCGGTGCGTGGTCTACAACTTCCGAGGTATTCTGGTTCCTGACCTAGTCACTGCAGAGAAATGAAATTGAGCAAAGGCACAAGGTGGCACCAGCCTGGCTAAGATCAATTGCCTTTAACTTAAAAGCTGCATCATCTGCATTTCTTTGTGTATTTTCCATGAGAAGGGTGTGTGCATGAATTGAAAAATAACTGTTCAAAACACATTCTAGTATCATATGACCACACCGTGCTGATATCCTGTATGTATGTGCTGTATGAGCAGGGCAGAATGTGCTGTGTGCTTACATCTGTGATGATGGGCACTCCGAGGTGGGCCATGTTGGTGATGATCTCACTGTCCTCTGGGGGGATCTGGGCATGCTGGATCAGCTTGTTCAGGTTCTCCTCTGTGATACCTGATACACAACACACACATCCATTCATTCATCTTTAATTTTAGTGTTTAGACCCAAAAATTCCCAGTTGAAATTACAGCTGCACTAACTCTCTCTTGTGAATTTTAACCCATGTTTTAATGTTGTGACCTCATCAAAAAATACCCAGAGCTGTGTTTTGTTTCATTCACATGTTTGAGTAACGAATTATTACTAGTCTGTCTACATCTCCAAAGCTCAAAATGCTCTGTTCCACCTTGTGATGTCATGAAGCGGTAGTTAGTTATCCACTACCTTTTACCTGTTGATCTGTAGAGAATGGCAATTTCAGGTCTGAAATTATTCAAATTATCCTGTATTACCACAACACAAAGTAGAACGATTGTTTACCTATGTAAACACGGTTCTATGAATTAAAGTGACCTGTAACCATTTGACTACAACCCTCGGGTCAGGAGCATTATTCCAAATTAAACACACCTATATGAATGACGCGCTCTGTCGCAAATAGATCCACTGAGGCCTGACCGAAGCGGCACCATATCTGATCCACCACCTGGGGGTGTAAGCGCCACTCGCCGGGATGAGGAGCGCCTCTGGACAGCAGATCTGCTGCACCATTGAGGAGGCCAGGAAGGTAGAATGCTCTCAGAGACATGTCCTCTGACTGGGCCCACAGAAGGAGCTGGCATGCTCTGGCATGCAAAGACAGAGACTTCAAACTGCCCTGATGATTGATGTAAGACACCACTGCAGTGTTGTCCGTTCGTACCATCACCTGCTTGCCCCTCACCACTGGGAGGAAGTGCTGCAGTGCCAAACGAACAGCCTCCATCTCGAGGAGATTGATGTACCAACTCCGTCGTACAGAGTCCCAAGTCCTTCGGGCAGTCCTGCCTTCGCACACAGCTCCTCAACCCATCTGGGATGCATCGGCAGTTATAGTGACTCGGGCTGCCCCAATGAAAGTTCGAGGAGACAGTGACAGGCCAAACGGGAGCATTGTACTCATAAGCTACACCTCGGAATGCAAACCGCAGGTAGCGACGATGACCTGGATGAATGGGCACATGAAAATAAGCATAGCGTAGGTCCACAGTTGTGAACCAGTCGCCTGCTCGAATGGCCTGAAATAATGCTTTCAGTTTGAGCATCCTGAACGGAAGAACCTTGAGGTACTTGTTTAACCTCCTCAGGTCGAGAATGGGGCGCAAACCACCTGTGCGCTTTGGTACAAAGAAATACGGGGAGTAGAACCCCTGATTTCCCTCCCGTGGATCCAGTGGACGTATAGCCTTTTTGGAGAGTAAGGCCAAGATCTCGCACTCCTGAAAGAGACTTGTCTCCCACCTTTGTCCATAAAATGCCCCGAAAGCGTGGAGCGTGGAGGCGGAATTGCAGACGGTAGGCACACTCCAGGGTCTTTAGCACCCATGGGCATGAAGTGCACTGGCGCCAAGCACTGAGATGGGTGCTTGAAAAACTTGACTCCAGCCGAAGTGTATAGTCAGGAATGCTGGGCAGACTTGGGCGGACCCCATGCACCACACTCCCGAGAACGAGTACGGACCCTCTGTCAGCCCATTCGGGGAACAAAGGCCTGTGTACCACCTCCAGAATCCTGTGAGGAACACTGACCCACTGACTGAGGTCTTTGTGGGCCAATACGTCTCTCTGGGGCCATCCGAGGACGTGACCTCAAGAGCCCCTGATTGCGCATGGTTCGACTGCGCATTCACACCTTTTGGGCTTTATCCAAGGCTGCCTCTGCAGCCGCACCAAACACATGACCAGGCGAAATGCTGGCCCCCAAAACAGCAGCATGTTCCGCCTCTGACAAGGCCGTCTGGCTCAACCAAATGTGGCGCCTGGCCATGGTGAAATGGGACAAGGAGTTACCCAGGACCTTGGCCTGGGCACTTGCTCCCTGAATCACCGTATCCATGATGTTAGTCATTTCAGGCATGAGCTCAGATGGGCTCTTAGAATCCAGATCTCGAATCAGGCCCTCCAGATACGCAAGAAGTAGAGCATTGGTGTTTGCCAGTCTAGCAGCCATGGCAGTAGACTGATAGGCTTTCGCCACAAAGCCATCAGTAGCCCTGCACTTCTTATTAGGATGACGGGCGACCCGGCCCTAAGGGGATGCCCCAGCCAGGAGTGCAAATGAAGGTCCCACCTGTAGGGTCCCATCCAACCCATGCTCAGCAGCACTGTGAAGCACACTTAGTGCAGAGCGGGGAAGTAAAGCTTCTCTTGGCCGAGCCCACGACTCTTGGAGACGGGAAACAAAATCCAAATAGATGGGCAAAAGGGCATAGCCCTGGTGGCCCGAACCCCGATCTAATGCAGAAGCCTTGGGTGGAGATGGAGGAGCAGGAAGACCTGCAGCAGTGGCCGCTCGTGTAAGCAGGGCTTTAATAGAGAAGTCACCCATCTCAGATGACGGTCCTTCTCCAGCAACATCATCCAACATAACCTGCTCCTCCTCGTAACAGTCCAACAAAGCAGAGGAGCCGCTGCCTGAGCTGCCAGTCTTACCCAAGTTACCCGAAGCGGCCAGTGAAACAGTATCAGGATGAGAAAACCCACGCAGAGGGGCTTGATTCTCCAGCAGCCGCTGTTGTGTAGCAGCCATGGTTTCCATGGTCTTACGCATAGCCTCCAGTTGTTTCTGGAGATGATCCACCCTGGGGTCATAAACGTGGTCATGTGCCCGTTTACCACCAGACTTCCGCGCCCCTTACGGGGGGGAGGGGAGTCCACCTCCTGACCAGGTGGCAGCGTCTCCATAAACAGTAACACAGTCCATGTGGTCACTATCCACCCCCGAAGCCATTTCAAAACAGGAGATTCACACTAGAGGAGAATGAAAAATGTCCCCGAAAATAGAATGAAGTCCCCTGTAGCACAAACAAATGAAAAAGAAGTTTATGTGCACGTATATTATATCATAATATAATAATACAGAAAAATACAAGCACTAAGGAGAGCAGATCTCAGCAGAAAGCTGCAATACCTCTCCAAGCCAGGAGGTGGCGAAGTGCGCTCTCACGGCACTACAAAGCTATGTTAGCCTAACAAATGCACAAGCCGGCTAGATAGCAAAGTTTGCAACCGGCAAACGGGAGAGATACACTCACCAAACTGCAACAAAATTGACACGGAACGCCAGAGGGGTACTACAACAAGGAGCAGCCCAAATCAGCGATGATCCGTGAATAAAACGGCGAAAATCTCAAGCCGCGCGGCATAAGCTCTCAACGACCAGGAGAATAGAAAGAGGGTGAGTGTGTGCACACGCGTCATTCATATAGGTGTAGCGCGCACACACAGGTGTGTTTTAATTTGGCATAATGCTCCTGACCTGAGGGTTGTCATCACATGGTGACTTCATGGTGGAATGTTTTCAATTTGAGAGAACTGAACTCAATTTGAGAGAAAGAACTCAGCCTGTTAAACGTGTGAATGAAATGAAACAAAACACAACTGCAGGTCTGTTTGTGATGAAGAAACAACATTATTGCACAGATCAGAAAACAGTGTAACATTGTTAAGAATTCCAGGAGCATTAGCATCTGAGAAGAGTGAAATCTGAACTGATAAACTAATACAAGACTCTATGAATTTCAAAACATTTACACATATAACAAGATTTCTCTATTCAGGCTACGTTTATATGATCTGAACAGAACAGAAGATGCAAAAGTGGCACCACGTTTTCACTTTTTAATTCGCATTTAGACGAGTGTTTTCAGGAGGAAATCTGCATGCATACGGTAAAGCAAAATTGTGTGGAATTTGACTGTGAATGCATGTACTTAAAGCAACAAGGGCATCTCTGGACATATGAAAGTTTTCAAGCCACACATTTTCATCAGCTCCTCATGGACTGGTTCTCCAGGTCTCGTCCATATCCGTCTGACTCGCCTGAGACCAACTGGTGCATCCAGAATTTGACAGAGGTGATTGCAGATCCTTCTCTGTTCACTAATAGTATCTGCAGATTCTGTACATTTGTGGGAAGCCTCCTGAAAGTTTATTAGAGCTGCCAGAGCAACTTGAAGGTCCGATACATGGAAATGATGAATGGAAATGTTTGTTTCTGTGTACTGTACGTATGTGATGTAAACGTGCACATGACCTGAGCACATCTGACCAGAGTTTGGCGTCTTGGGCAGTGTAGACAGAAACGCTACGGTGGAGCGTGTTTAACTTTTCCACTCTGGAGGGTTGTTTCAGATTTTTGCATTTTTAAGGCCCAACAACACTGTCACGTCTAAACAAAAGCCACTTCTGATAAAATATTTAGTTGTTTTTACCCGCAAGCATTCTTATGTAAACATGTAAACAAAGATTTTAAATACTTTAAATCTATTGTGTGTCTACCGTTCTTGAGGAAGATGTAGAGCAGGATGATGCGGATCTTGTCGTACGTGCTGACGTTGGCGTCCAGCAGGATGGGCACGATGGCTCTCATGGGGTCTTTGATCTTCTCCCCCTCAGCGTCAGTGCCCATGGCCAGGTCCTGTCAAATACACCAGTCTGTCACAACACTGGGACGGCCAAGACTCTGTCCACTGTCTTGTTTGCTCCTGCTTTATTTAAGATGTAGAATCGGTTTTGCCCTGTTCTAGTGGTTTCCTCATGAAAAACTGGGACACTCCCAGTTTGAGGTGGCTGGTAATAATAAAATTGTGAAACAAGTGTGTAATTAAGGAAAACTTGGCCCATTCATGACTAACGTGTCAGTATACTGTAATTACATTTTCTTTGTGCTTTGGTCATTTGAGAGCTGCTTTTCTGTATTTGACCTAAACAAATGACAATGTATGTCTCTCATTACTGTTGCCAGGAAACAAATTGGTCAAAAATAGGGACACCTGGGACATTTTTTGTATAAAACTGGGACAAATCACTGGTTTTGGATAAATCTGCTGGGACACAGGGCTAAAAACCGTCTCGGGTAAACAGGGACGTCTGGTCACTCTAGTCCAGGTTTGTGTGTGTGCAACTAATAATAATATATTTGACTTCTATTTTGCATCTTATTTTAATTGACAATATGGGAAAATCACTGAGCATTTTTTTATGATTTATTTTCTTTTCCTCCTGAGTCTGTCTCATCTCTCTGCATTCACACAGACTCGTGTGTCGGTGCTGCTCTGCCTCGTCTCCAGCAGCAGCAGAGACAGACAGCAGCTCCTCCCACACTGCCCTGCTCTTTTTACACACACCCTATCTACTTTGTGAACACTCATAGAAATGTCTCAACAGACCATTTTCTGAGTAAAACTGATGAGATAGAGTATGAGAAACATATTGCGAGCTGTGTCGTGTGTGCGTTTACGAGCTCATTTGATTAAAGCCAATGTAAAGCCAAAAGCGATTCTAAAGTATTGAAAAGTTAATATCTTCATCATTCCTGGGTCATGAGAACTGTTTCCATTTTAGACTAAAATAACAACACAGCGCACATGAAGGGACACGTGCATATCGCCCGAACATGTGTATCGACTCATGACACCAGTATCGAACGATTCAATATTATATCGAACATCATCAACAGCATCCCTTGTGAAAATGTCTTTATACCGTACACTTTCACCATCAAACTTTCAAGGCATTTCTTGACCATATTTGGTAATGTGCCATTTGAAATTAAGAGAAGTGAAGTATACACCGCTAACTAGCATGCTAACAGTGCACTTCCTGGTCCACGTATTATAAAAACACTAAAGCTAACCTAGCGTGTGGCCTGACCCCTGCGCAGTGAATCTGACCTGTTCAACACGGCACAGTTTGTCCACTGTGCCCTGGTAGTGCTTCATGCAGTCCTCGGCCAGCTGCAGGTGGGTGGAGTACTGCGGGCACATTAGTGTTAGCATTAATATCTGTACCAACCCACCGTAATAAGCTCCACGTGCGTAACCAGGGAGGAGGCCTCACCTTGCTGAGCTCCTTCTGGTACTGGGGCATCTTCTTCAGCATCTGGGACAGGTCTCTCATGGTGGTCTGAGAGGACAGGAGACGAACATTAGAACAAAACTGACTCTGGATTATGGAAGATACAGTTGGAAAATATTGCAATACAAATCTTTAAGAAAATATAATGACACAGAGTTGCCATTTGCGTCTTATTTTGAAAGTCCATCTGCTGTACACATTGTAAACAGACAGTGTAATAGTTAGCTTTTTGCATCAGTCCTTGTACTTATACCGTATTTTCCGCACTATTAGGTGCTCTGGATTATAAAATGTCATTAAATGGTCTATTTTCAAACTTTTTTCACATATAAACTGCCCCGGACTTTAAAGGAAACACAACAGTTGGATGGGTCAGTGGGACTTTGTTTGTGGCGTTCGCGGTGACTCTGGGCTTTGTTCAGTTGTGGCGTGTAGGGAGGGTGCTGTCTGGAACCGCTGGATTGTCGGCGTATTCACAGTGACTCAGTTGTTCAGTTGTGTCTAGAAGTGGTTTATTCCTCCGTTCAAGTGTGGCTGCAGGTGTGTTTCGCTGCGCGGTCGCTGTCTGCTCCGTGTGTGTTTGCGTGCTGCGGCTTTGTAGTTTACTGAAGCCGTGTTGGGACACCCGAGTGGATTCATGTATTGGGTGCTCTCTGGATTGTGGGGCGCACAGTAGTTTTTTGATGGGGTTAGAGGCTTATGAGTGCACCTAATAGCCCGGAAAATACGGTATATAGTTTTTGGAGTACTTTGAACAGGGAGGTTGGGGTGTACCTTCTCTCCAGTGTTCATCCTCTTGCTGGAGGAGAACTCCTTCAGCTGACGGGTCACCTCCCTGAAACAGTCACACAGAGCTCAGTCAAGTTCTTAAACTAAAGGTGCATTTGGAACACATGAAACCCAACACAGCCGTTACATGAAATTATAACAAGTCAACATCAGACAACATCAGTTCTAAACTAAACTCTGTCTAAACCAAGTCTAAACTAGGGGTACCTTAATTGTGCATGGATTGGGTTGATGGAGGAAACTGGATGGAGTCAAACTTCTGACCTTCTTGCTGCCACTCAGCAAGTGCTTTTTGTTATTTTTATTTTATTTTTTTTTATAAAACAGATCTATATGAGTACTACACATGTTTTCATCCAGTCCTTGTATTTGCAGAGGTCGCTGGTGCTAGACTAGTGCATGTCAATGGTCATAGTTCTCCTGCCACTAAAAACAGTCTTACCCACTCCACAAAACACCTGAAACAAATGTATTATTACACTACACTGTCCATGTGAATGTCTGTGTTGATAGAATAATGTCTGAAATAACCTTGTATCGCATGAATTGTAGCATGTTGAGGGACTATTTTCTCATATATCAGCTTTCTATCAGGAAGCACAGCTTGCTGCTGCTGCTTATTGTATCAACACAGACATTCACATGGACAGTCTGTTGTAATAATTGTTGACAAAACTTAGCAAAGACAAGTGAATCTGGAGCTGTGTCATTTCAGAGGTCAGATTTCAGAGGCCAGGATTGACAGGCGGATTAACCAAACAGTCATGGTCTGTTCACGTCAAAAACAAACATGGCGGTTTACGTGTAAAAAAGGCGGGGAAAAACCACATAAAGGACTGAGACAAAGTGCAGGTTTTTGCTGAATCAACAATTGAAGCATCAAACTATTACTTATCTCTGAGAAAATAAGTTCAAATAAGGGTTATATGAAATTATAAAAAAAAGTACTACATCAGTTCTAACCAAAATGTGTACCACACCACCTCTAAACTCAGTCTAAACCAAGTCTAAACCAGGATCGCACCAGGTCTAAACCAAGTCTAAACTAGGGCTGCATGGATTACCCAATCCATGGGGTAACAGGATGGAGTCAAACTTCTGACCTTCTTGTTGTGAGCTGCAAGTGCTAGCCACTCAGCAACTTTTTTTTTTTTTTTTTAAATAAACCAGATCTATATGAGTACTACACATGTTTTCTGAGTAGCATGAAAAGAACCCTGTGTACCCATGGCACAATTTAAGCCCTGTTGTAGTATACACAGAGTATAACGTATAAACATATAAAGAGAGCTGTACTCACTGGGACACCTCGGCGATGTGCTTGTGTCGCAGGCTCACCCACAGGTCATCGTCCTCATGGAGCAGCACCTCCTTCTCCCGAGAGTCGCCCATACCACTCGTCTCATACCTGCAGCACAGACACACAGACATGCTCAGCTCATGTGTGGACAGAAAAACAGTCGAAACATGTGCCTGTCCCCATCATCTACAAGTGTACTGTGCCCTCGAGAGTAGAGAGGACTGGGGCTGGGACAAACTACCTGTGTCTAGCAGACTATTAAAACACAATCTGTTATTTACCAATCCAATACCAATTAGGGCTGGTATCATTAAGAAGTTGCTGATATGATACAATCCTCAATCCATAGGCCACAATGCAATACATATCTTGATACTGTGAGCTTATGATTCAATTTGATATATATTTCAAATAAATTTTATACGGTTCAATAAAAAATAATGTCTAAGTCATGGCTGTGACACTAAAAGTCTTTGTTAAACCACTGCAAAGTGAAAATGAAACACAAACATTTTAATCATCAAAACTGTGAAAATGTCAAATAAGTTGCATAAATGAGTTTCCTTCCACTGAACAAGCAACAAAACTGTGGCACTGTAACAAAATAATTTAGTAAAATATACCAATACTCTTGGCGATATATCAGTTCAGCAGCCCGCGATATTGATACCGTGTCATCACATTAGACCACGGGTGCTCACACTTTTTCAGCATGCGAGCTACTTACAAAATGACCAAGTCATAAAGATCTACCTAATACAAAGCCAAGCAAACTGCACTGAAACACTCTGTGCCCCTTTTTTGGACCTTCACCCACAGTTTGAGAACCCCTTCTTTAAGAGAACTTCCTCTGGCACTTTACACAAAACTGTGAAAAAAGTGAAGGAAGATTTTTAAACCTGTTCTTTAAAGTTCCAAACTGGAGTTGCATTCTTTTCTGGTTTTGCAGTGATATTTACCAGCCTCTGCACGTTTACCAAACCAAACGCACATCGTGACAAACACAGATGCATTTCTGCACTTTTGTTAGGCAAACGTCAGCCAAATGTGGCAGTAGGTCTGTTCTGTAGATCCGCTCTATGCTGTAGACCTGCTTTATGCCAACGCTGTAACACAAATTTAGACTCGTTTTTGCTTCATGTTTGGTCTTGCTCTTCTAATCAGTGCGCACTGTGGAAGGAGCTTGTTTTCGCTGTACGCAGGAAGGAGCGAGAGCGTGAAAAGGCGAGGGGCGGCGTGCTGACGTGAGGCAGATGGACAGGTAGAATGTTTAGGAAGTTTAACCTGCCCTGTGATGCACGCTGGTACATGAGGGCACACGCTGTTGCAGACGAGCCGTGCATAGGGAACGTGTGTATTTGTGATGTGCCGTAGAGTCTCCGCGGGCTGCACTGAGACGCCCCACACGCTCCTGCACCCCAGTACAAGTTTATTGCCAACAGCAGCGGCCTTAATGAAATATGATCGCACTTGTTGAGTGTCAGATTTTGAGTGAGAGATAAGACCGAGTCCAAACGCGAGTCCGAGACAAGACACGGCGATCTACCCACACGACCTTCGCGATCGACTGGTAGATCGCGATCGATGTATTGCGCACCCCTGCATTAAACAATACGATATCTTGATATTTTGATGTTTTTGCACACCCCTAATATAAATAGAGCTTCTCTTTTTTCTACTGTTCAACAATTACAAAAACAAACACAGACTTTATGTGGTAGCAAATATGAAAACGTGGAGGAGTTGAATTTATTGTTATTAAATTAAAATCATCTTAAGAGATAGAAAGTTGAGTTTGTTCATTAGTTTTCCTCCACCATGACACGCTGCTGTCTGTTCTGTGGACAGACAATCCGAGCGCTCCTTTGACAAAGACGTCTGCAGCTGATTACACATTCTGTAACTTCTCCTGTGAGACACAACCGTGTCCTTGGAGTGTCCATGAGCTCTCCAGATCACACACACACACGTTGCCTACAGCTTTCTATAGCAGATGGGTGAATTAGTGTGCAATAGGTTGTACATGCCGTATGGGCCTGTTTACACGGGAACATTTGTGGGTAAAAGTGAAAATACAAAGACGGTGACTGCGTTTTTGGGGCTTAAAAACACACAAAACTGAAACCACCCTCGAGAGTGGAGAAGTTGAATACACTCCGCTGTAGCGTTTCCATCTACACTGCCCAAGACGCAAAACTCTGGTCAGATCTGCTCAGGTTATGAGCGCGTTTATGTCATACAGTGTCACAGCCCCACCTAGCAGCCTGGCATGCATACCCAATCGAATTCCACACACTTTTGTGTTACTGTATATGCACTGGGGTCACCAAACGTCCATTTTTCCCCACACATGTCCATTTTTTATGTCCTGGGCGTCTTTTGTTTTTTTAAGTGATGGAAATGTCCAGGTTTTCATTTCCTTGCATTTGGCATATAAATTGACCAACTCTCGTAGCTCTCTGTGCACTCAGAAGGAGCGAGCAGACACAAACAGTTGGTCAGCCAAACAGTTGGTCAGCCATTTCTTGTACAAGAAATTCTCCATTTTCTGTCGGGACAAGTGGGAGGCCATGTGCACAGGTTGTGAGGTGAGAGTAGCTCAGTGTCGAGGCCCCACCCCCGGGCTACAGGTTTTCACAAACGGAAATATGGTCACCCTAATACACACAGATTTCCTCCTGAAAACGCTCATCTAAATACTTTTGCATCTTCTGTTTAGACCATCATCATGTAAATGTAGCCTTAATCACCACTTTTTGCACAAACTGACTTGCACAAATCACTAAACAGATCTTCGAGTGGGTAAAGGAGAAGGTTAAACAACTAGAACACGGTTAAAATCTCAGAATAGCAGAGTCTGCAGAATAAGCCAGCTTTAAAGTGATGTAAAGTAATAACTGTATAAGTGTGACACAGTCCTGAGTCGTACTTGTAGACGTCATTCTCGATGGGCAGCAGGTCATAGCCCATGGCCTGGAAGGTGAGCTCGTGAAGGACAGGAGACACCGGGTCAAAGCCTCTGTCCAGGATGATGAGCTGAGAGCGCGCCTTGTCCGGACCCTGCACACAGCACAACGAAATACTCACCCTCGAACATCAAGTACACAAATACAAACTGCATTACATTACCACAAGATGTATGTCCACAAACCCAAACCCTCAATGAAATATGACTTGTATTGTAATAGGAGGGTTTCAGTCATGTGATCACGATGACGCACAAATTTCAGGTGGAGGGCAGGAAGTGAAGACAAACACGACAAACACAGCTCTGGAGAATACAGATATGGAGAAGAGTTCTTATTGTAAGGATTTAGAGCCAGTAGCAAGGCAAAAGTAAGAGCAGTTAGTCGACAAATATATTGCACGTGACCCCTATCTTATGAAAATAAAAGAATTTTCGACCGAAGTAAAATCACGAACTATCTAGTTTTCCAGACATCATTCTACACCAGACAACAGATGAAGGCATACAAAAGTGTGGAGGCATATCACTTTTTTTGTCAGTGGATGGGTCCTCAACCTTGGTGCAAAACTCCTAAATGATGATTATCGTTTGGTCTTCACCAGGGTGAGTGTTTCTCTTACTGCAGTGTATCGGCAGTAACCGATCTATCCCAAGTATTTAATGTCAACAAACATCGTTAGCTGTTAGTCGTTAGTCGTTAATGATTCGTTTATGTTTAGGTAAACCACAAAAAACTATTTAGCTTTGTAACAAACCTTTGACGAAGTGGTCACTGCAGACACAAGCATTACGAATTCTGCTCCTCCTGACCGCAAACAGGTTTGTAATCCACTTTTTACGGCTTTGCTCTGTCAGCTTTTTCCATTTCTGACATTTGTGGACGACTATATTCGGTAATTGCTTTTCCTTCTCTTGGTTAGAATGATTGGCACAGCCGTAAACTACACAACACATAGGTATTTTCCTCCAGTCAGTTCACTTCCTGCCCTCCATCTGATTTTGCACGCTGACAAACGTAGCCCTGTGACGTCACGTGAAACCCAGCTATTGTGTTTTGTTTTTAGCTTCACTTTTTAACAGGACTATAAATGTTTAGAAAATATGGGTTACATCTGAAGTCTGGCCTCTGAAAACTGAATAAACAGCAGTATTTGTAGTGTAAGTGAGCAGTACCTCTCCCATGGTGGGGTCGTCAGCTTTATATGCGTCCAGTTTGTCCTGCACCAGCTGGGCCAGTGTGGCATTGTCCTTGTACTCTCTGCGGATACATGGGACAGAGGGACAAGAGGACACATTTACATTTTATCAAGTAAAAATAGAAGTCAGTGGAGGCTTATGTGAATACATTACGACATTTTTTTTTTCCTTTTTGTAATGTCTCTGTCCTGCTGTACGGACACACTCTGGAAGTGTTTTTTCCCACACGCCATACGTCTGTACAACACATCGCTATAAACTGAACTGCTGTATTATTATTATTAGTAGTAGTAGTAGTAGCAGTAGTAGCAGCAGTAGTAGCAGCAGTAGTAGCAGTAGTAGTAGCAGTAGTAGTAGCAGTAGTAGCAGTAGTAGCAGTAGTAGTAGTAGTATGTTCCAGTGTTGCTGCCAAAAATGTATTTCTTTCAGGTATTTATTGATTTGTTTAATTTATTTTAATCCTCTCAGGAAATTGCCAAAGCAAAAATGCAGATAATCAGTTGTGGCTTTGTTCACACATCACCCTGTTCTGGTAAACATGTTACCGGTCCAGCTCGAAACAGAACCAGAACGAGTTTGTGAGACACGTGATACAGTGGTTGTGGTTGGACTGTTCCATGTTTGGGCAGAGGTTTGTCACAGTCTTTGATTTGATTCCATCTGGATGCTGTCACAATGTAGTGGGAACTGGCTGCTCAGGCAAGTAAAACAGCAGTAGGTAAATCCCCAGGTCAGGATACTTGTGTGAATGAGAATATATCAGGGGTCGGCAACACACGGCTCCAGAGCTGCATGTGAGTCTTTCAGGCTCCCTGTGACTTTGGAAAATAAATAATTAATATTTCATTACAATGTGCTTTTATTTTGTTAGTTTTTAAATGTAATTCTAAATTTGTAGATAATGGTAATCTTATAACATTAAAATAAAATGTTTTTAATGTTTTTGTCACTCAAAATATGTGTCAAAGCCACCGATGTGTGACACTGGGCACAAATCTGGCAGCCTGGACTTACAGGCACCTACACCAGCAGCATGATTTATTGAGCTTTTCAACCCCTGGTAGGTAAATGATGGATAAATCCAAGAAATGCTACGTGGGCAAATTCATTTGCTTTCACAGCTGATGAGACCAGCTTACATGAGATAAAATGATGACTGAACAAAGAAGCAGACGGCATTTTTGGTTCGCTTCTGGTGGATAATTTAAGTTTGTATTGTTATTTCCAATGAGGACTCAAGTACACATTCAATATTTCATTTGAAAGTAAGCATCAACCAATTGTCTTTTTTCAGAGTTCAATTTTTTTTTTTGTTACATGCAGAAATAAAATTCTGTGTTCTCTGTAGCATTTCACTGATTTCATAAATAAAACACACTGTAGTCTTTTATACAGAGCACACAGGTTAAAAAAATAATCTGTAGTCTTATCCTCATTTTAGAGTGAAAAGGGTTTTGAGGCTCTAGGTGTTTTCTTTTCTGTGGAATACAGTCCAAATGACTCTTATATAGACAGAAACATCTTCCCATACACATGTGTAAGTTCCCAGGAGCACACTGACCCTCTGTATCTGACGGCTGGGTACTCCTTGAGAGTAGCACACAGAGTAGCGAGCTGCTCGGCCAGACGCTCCATCACAGGGTTCTTCAGCTGGGTCTTATGAGGGCTGTAGAAGCTGTGGAAGGCGTCAGGATTGTCCAGAGAGTACACCTGCATACACACACACACACACACACAAACACATTACAGGCTTTCAAGTGAAGAATTCGTTATAGTTTTGTTTTTTCCTGGACAGGGATTTTTATAATTTGATGGTGCAAAGTATGATACACTTTGTATTTGATGAGTTGTATGTCAGAAAACGTAATAGTATCCTAGAGATGTCTCGCACTCGAACTGCACAAATCTACACTCCCTGACAAAAGTCTTGTCGCTTATCCATTTTGTAGAAACAAAAGCTGGTAACACTTTATAATAACTACAGCTTATTTAGCCTTAATAAAGCATGAACAAAGACTGAATTCATAATGAACTAAGACTTAATTAATCATGAGTCACACTTAGTAACTACTTAATTACTACCTTAATTAGCACTTAACTTCCACTTAATTCGCCTGTGCTCTAAATAGTTACTCATAATTATTTCACACTTAATTACTCATGAACTCAGCATTTGTGTGTGCATTTGTAAATGTATACTTAAGTACAAATTTGAGCATTTATTGATGATTAGTAAGCTATGAGACAATGATTTACTAATAATGCAATGCAATGATAATTCAGGCAGCTATTATCTGTTAGTTAAGTCTTTTTGAGAGCTTTTCTACAGTGAAGACTAATTATGCTTTATTAAGCATTTGTTAAGGTTGGTCAAATTCCAGAGAAACAATAATCACATTTTCAGATTATTTAGGAATGTGATAATGATTAACAAATGTCTAAGTAACACCATTAATTGATGATTAGTTCAACCAGTAGTTAATACTTTTTTGTAAACATTTCTAAAGTGAAGACTGTTTGGACTTAATTAAGGATTTGTTAAGGTACTATACGAGCCATTATCTAAGCCTGGAGTGTCTTGACTCATTTCCCCCTGAATTTAACTTCAGCAGCGGTGAGAATCAACACGACATAAAAAAATAAGCCAACAAACATGGATATAAAACATCAAGATGTGTATTCAAATAATTTTCAGAACATTTACAAACACAGTGTCAGTATTCTGGTTTGTGAACTCTTTTTCTTTTAAAAGTTTCAAATAACTTAGTGAGTAAAAAACAAATCTAGCCATCAACTAATTAAAAATAAAACAAAAAAAACTATAACATAACAAGTAAAGTTTTAACGTCACATTTAAAAAGGTAAATGAATGAAATGAATACATTAAAACTGTTAAACACCTATCAAATAGGGTTTTTATTGTTTTTTTTTGGAACCTTTTTTAAATGGAACCTAAAAGCATTAAAGGCACATTTATAGTCATGTACCCGTACATCCCCCAGCCTGATGGAGGGTAAGCCCTTCTTTCGGTACCAGTGGTTGCCCCTATAGGCCAGTACAGTTATTTCAATGTCCTGTATTTTTGTACAGGCTTGTAGTGGAAACCATTGGTACTGAAAGAAGGGCTTATTCTGCATCAGACCGATTCTGGGCCATGTATGGGCAAGAGAATGTTACAGATTTTAATCCCAAATGTTTCAAATATTAATTTGAAAAAAAAAAAAAAAAGATAAATAAACATCAAGAAACCACAATGATAACCACAAGGTTCTACAGATCACTTGAATTGTTTCCCTATATCATAGATCAACCTTCCTAATGGCCCATCAACATGTTTTCTGGCCAGCCATTCCATCCACTCAATTACAGCAATGTGCTCAGATAACAAATTATCTGTTCTATTCCCCCTCAGCCTCCAGACCTGCTCTTTGTAAGAGCGCCATGCCCTCTCAATATGTTGCGTATGGGCACCTGTGTTTGGAGCTACCCAACTCCTGCTGTGGTTAACTGTGTAATGGTGGTATCCCAACTGAGGCAAAATCCGATATGCTCGCCATTCGTCACTGATAACAGACGAGCCTACTCTCACATGCCGAGCAATGATGGGGACTAAATGCTTCCTTGATCTGCGTTCTACAAGCCGTAGAACTGGCTTCCTTTCACCATTATTTTGCACACCCAACATTCCAAATACCCATCTCTTCCTCTTCCATCCACCGGCCATTCTGCCCTTTCCGTACTGCAACAAAAAACAAATATTTAAAAGGATTATATTAGATTGTTAGATTACATGAACCATTGTCTTAAGCTTACCTTTCGTTTGTGTCGAAAATAGCTTTCATCTATTGCTACAAATTCTCTTCTTCCTCCAATCATCTGGCCAGTTTGTCTCCTCAGCTTTTGCATTGCTGTCCAACACACATCTCTTATTTTTTTGGCCATTCTTGTAAGTGTTGCTGAACTGGCAGGCACTGAGTCATCCATCATGTCTATTTGTCTTAGCCTTAATCCTTGACAAAATCTAAAAATACATACAAAAATATTGAAATTAACAAGCACATATTTGGCTAATTTGACTTGACTTGAACCATGTCATAAGTTATATTTTGGCTGATTCGTGCAAGTTTGTGTAATACTTTAAATTTTCCAGGTTTCGAGTTGAATGAACATAACACCTACACCTGTCCCTGTCCACCCTGTGCTTGTACCTGTTCTTAAAAAAAATAAAATAAAAAAAGTCTAGCTTTGGACCATAGGCTGAAAGCCAGTGGAGCCTATGTTTAGTATGCAAATATTTTTTGTAGAATTTGTTAAATAAACATAAAACACATGTATCACATCCAAACTATTGGTTTAATAAAAAATGCAATTAAGTGTTTCATTTGAATTACAGAGTTCCTAATAAAACTTATAACTATGAATTTTTATCACAAATTAATTTGTCACGATTTCTAACGATATCTGTAAATATTAAATGCAATGTTTAAATATTTGTTTGTTTTCATGGAAATTTGCTAAATGTACCACCAATGTAAATAATTAATTCTTACATTTATAATTGTAAACAACATTGATTATTAATTGAAAAGGGCTTAATAACAGAAACAGGTCCAGGGAAAACATTAGACCTATGTAATCAGATAATTTAGCAAATTATATCTCCTTTTTGCCTCCCAGTTTTAGATCAATATTACATTATACAATAATGAAATTTTAAAATAAATGTGTCTATTAAATTAAGATCAACAATAGCCTATATTATTGTTTGCTGTCATCAAGTTTACCAACCTGAAAATGAAATGCATCCACTTCCTCAGTGATAATTTTGACCTTGAAAATATAGATTTGTGTCTGATGGATAGCTGCTTTGGTCTCCCCAAATGCATAGCATGGTGACATATCCTATTAAGAAAGAACAAATATTAGAAACATGATAAATAAATGGTTGTCACCCAACTTTTTTGGCCAGTAAGCCAAAAAATGTATTTGTGCTCTTCCCGTGCGCCCTCGTAGCCAAATTAGCTTGCTTCTGTTGCCTACAGACTGAACTTTTTAAATCAATTTAAAGGATTTTTAACTAACGAAACAGACTTTTATGTATCTTGCATTCTGACATAATTAAACTTTAAATTGGCCCAATTAAATATGTAATATATTTCATTATAACATATAGACTAATTTCCAGAGCATCAATGTGTGGGTTTTTTCGGAAGGTTCAATGCGTGTCCTAAAAAGAAGCACAGGAGATGGAGAATCCGAGAGAACAGGCCACTTTATTTCAGCATTTCCATTGAGAGAGATTCAAGTTGATTACCAAGTACAACTGCCACCCCGGAACGACGTCTCTGACCAACTCAAAATCAGGGGTAGCTTTATACTACATCTTGACAAAACATTAACTTGTTGATTTAGCATATACAGCAAGAAAATGAACAATACTGCTGACCCAGTACACCTTATCATGGGTGGGAACATGCCACGGGGTCCACATATGTCAGTTTTTCTGCTTCGTGGCACTCAAAGTCCAGAAAAACATGTTCTTTATGGCACTCAAAGTACAGAAAAAACATGTTATATAGACCTATAGATAGTCATACGTGTTTTCCACCCTGTTGTCATTCCAAAGTCCATAATATTGGGTGAATTAGCATGACCAACACATAATATTTCCCACAAATGTTGATCCAAAAGTTTCGCTCTTGGGGTTACTTACTCTCCTCTCAGCGATGCCACACTGTCAAGTAACTAGGTGCGAGGAGGATTAAACCATTAAACAATAAAGTTACTAAACTTACCAGGCATAGCGATCTCCAGTGTTGGATCTTGCTTTCAGTGTCATATTCCGATGGCAGCTTCTGCATTTCATCTTACTTTTCAAAAGTTTTTTCCTTTGGAGCCACTGGATGAGTTTTAATGTCCTTCTTTTAGTCATCTCAAAATTAAAAAATCTCTTAAGGCAGGTGAATCGGCTCATTGTTGGATATACGGTATGAGAAAAATTGATTCCAGTCTGATTCCCTGATTCGAACCCACTTGATGGCGCAGTACGCAGTTGCGCATGCGTAACGAGGAATTCCCGCTCATTTTCCTCTTCTCTGACTCTAGTGTGACGTCTATTCGTCTCAAATTAATTCAATAAAATTTTGTATTTAATTTTTAGAGTTTTACCTTAATATAGGTAACATTAAGGTGCTATACGTAAAGAATATTTAGATTTTTTTATTTTTTTTTTTTTTAATTTTAT